TCTCTCTCTCTCTCTCTCTCTCTCTCTCTCTCTCCTTTCCCTCCCCATTTCTATCAATCTATCTATCTATCTATCTATCTATCTATCTGTCTGTCTGTCTGTCTGTCTGTCTGTCTGTCTGTCTGTCTGTCTGTCTGTCGGTCGGTGGGTCGGTCGGTTGGTCGGTCGGTGGGTGGGTCGGTCCTGTCTGTGCCTGCTCTGCGGTCATTGTATATATCACTCCAACTCCCTTAATTTTCTTTTATCTCCTTATGTCTCTCTTTCTCTCTGTCTGTCTCTCTCTATCTCTCTCCCTCTCTTTTTTCTTTTTCGCTGTCTGTTTGTTTATCTCTTTTTCTCCGATCCCCCTTCCGCCTCTCTTCTTTAAACACCAAAGCCGTGTAATGTGCAATGAATAAATCATTAAAGACACAGCATTGCAGCATTTGCCAGTTGCCACGGATCCAGCTACAGCCTGCACGATCTGCATAAGGGATCCAAACCGACAATAGTATTGTCTCACAGCTTGCTTCCCGTTACAACACATCCCGCTACATCACAGTCATCAGTACAGGCAGGGAGAGAAATCGAAATGAGACATAGCAAAAAGGGGCAGGTGGAGGCGCACTGCACAGCCCATGGCAAGCAATTTGTGCAGAGTGCAGGCAAAAATGAGTTTGGGGAACCTTTGAGTACTGTCTTAGTGCCGCAGGGCGTCTGGCAGGAGACGCCATTACGGAGCCAATATCCCTGGCTTGAAGGATTTTGGCATACACAGACAGAAATACGACCCCCTCCCCTCTTCCATACACACACACACACACACACACACACACACACACACACACACACACACAGAAAGAGAGAGAGAGAGAGAGAGAGAGAGAGAGAGAGAGAGAGAGAAGGAGAGGAGGGAGAGCCACACTTCAGAAGATTAAAAAGTCCTCTTTCAGCCATGTCTGTCAAGAAAAACAAAGAAGTAAAACCATGGCAGCTTAAAAAATACAACCTTCACTTAGAAATCGAACCCACGTCTTTTGTGTACAAGAGAATAAAAAAACTTAAACCATTACACTATAGACTCGGCCACCCGTATACATTTCAGCTCTCATCGACTTCCTGCGATCGTTCCCCACACCACCCCTTTCCCCATCTACCCAACCCACCCCCTCGACCCACAAGAGTCCGAAGCTAGGTCTCTATCAGGTTGAATAGCACCACTGATTACAAGGAGCGCTGCTTGGGTGAGTGCTGTCTGCCATCGACACACCCTCACCCCCTCTCCCTCTCTCTCCCTCTTTCTCTCTCCTTTACTTTCTCCTTTCATTCCCTTTTCTCTCACTCGCTCCTTTTTTCTTCATCCTTCGTTTCTTTCCCTCCAACCATCCATTCCTCCCCCCACTCTCTCTCTCCCTCAATCACCCTCCCTCTGACTATCAACCGCCCCCAAGCCGCATCAACAAGTGAAGCATGAATAACTTGTGAATCCGTAGACACAGGGCGACTAACACGGGGTGTCAATCGGAAAATTGGACTACATATCGGGACTAGCTGCTATAACATGTTCCATCCAGCAAACTCCTCCACGTCGCTCCCTTTACTACCAACCATCCGCCATCATTTCTTACGCGACCCTTGTCAATATCCGAGACACAGTTTCTATGTTCGGCCCATGGTCGTTCGTAGTGCTAACAATACACAAGAACTCCTAACACTAGCGCGGAGAATGGTGATTAATCCAGAGAGACAGTAATATTCTCTATTCCTATTTCTCAAACAATCCTCCCCCCCTCTCTCTCTCTCTCTCTCTCTCTCTCTCTCTCTCT